CATGCCTACTCACTATGTATGAGATTATTTAAAAGAATTAAAAATACATAGACTGATTCATAGTCGCTAAACTTTGGTATGATTATGACTGAATTTGGAAAATGATAATAACAATAAAAGAAGGGATGTTATATTGATCGCTTACTGTAGCCACTAAAGTAGCGAATAATCGGCAGTCGACTCAGATAGCGGTGCCAAAAGTTTAGAACATAGTAATGCCAATCGAATAGATGGCTGGCAATCAGGCAAACAGGAATTGATGGCAGGCCGACGAAAAGAAGGAGTGGGTCGGTTAGGGTGATAGCCTCAACCGCTTGCTCAGAGCCCATCAGTTGCATCAATGTGAGTGCGCCAAATGATGTCGCCGACCAATAGAACCCAGATGCAACTATTACACCAGCTAGATAGAGGGACATATGTGAGAGAAAGCGATCAATATAGCCGATGATGCCAAGGAATAGGCCAGTCATAGGATAGAGTATCTGGTACTGATACCCACATACCTGTAAGGAAATAGACTCTGAGTAAATTTGGTATTTAATGAAAATATAGCAAAAACTGATCTAGGGAGAAAGTAAAAATTTAGTAAACGAAATCGAGCCTGATAATATTGCTAGCCCCCCTATGCCCAACAGTTAAGCAAAAACAGGAAATAATCAGCAAGTAAAAAAATAGGGATGGGCAGGTCATAACCAAATGTTAAACTAATAAGGCTGCGTGAAAAGATGCAAAATAAATTCCTGGCATCGCTTAAAGAAGCAATTGTCTTGATTATTCAAAGTAACTCTGTACGTATTTTTACATAGAGCATGAAGTTCGGAAGGAATAAACAAAAGTCGCTTGATTTTATGAGCGTCTGCTTGCCAGGACCGAAAGAAGTATACGCCAAAGACAAATGCAGGATCATTCAAAAGTTGTGAAATCGCGTGTATAAAACCAAATTAAATTCACTTAGAGGTTTTAAGGAAAATAAATGACTACGAAGCAAGTAGTTTAACACCAAAATTAAGTGATAACTCAGCTTTAAGGGCTACTCAAAATAAAATTAAGCTGACGGTCAGTAAACTAGCATAAGTTAATATATAAGTTTGTACCAACCCACAAACGTTGTGGTTCAACATTGAATCTAATCAAAACAAACACTACTACAACATTTGTGGGTTGGCACACAAGAGACTAGGGCATGAGAAGTCATAAACTTGGTATTAGGGATAGAAACAGGATAGATGCGGCCAGAGATAGAGCTAATTGGGTGACAGTAGGTTTTGCAAGAGACGTTGGAAAATCCAACTTCCAGTCCCCTTACCACCTTAAACGAAATAGGATGAATACATTTTACACATAATTAGATTTATTTTTCGTTTTAAAAGCAGTTTCGAGACAACCAGTAAATCAGTTGAGATGTATTCACCCTATTTCGTTTAAGATGATTAGGACTGAAAGTTGAATTTTTCCACAATGATATGAGTAGACCTTACAATTTCATTGAATTTCATATGGCCTTGCTCTACCAGGTATTCTTATCCAGGATGGACCGCATTTTCAATATCGCCTAGGTCTTATCAACAACCCCAGAGGTACTCTAACCATGGCAGTACAGCATATAATCTCGACGCATTAGCCACTAGGCCATATTGTCATCAGTGCCCTTGGGTCACAAGGCAGATGTGAATTTCAAGGCCGAACAATTTTCTATATCACATCCTTTGGTGGGAGTGTCGTGAAGCAAAGTTC